AGTGTCTAAAAAATAGGAAGATTTTGCCATTCCTAGATAATTCACCAGCCCACTCACCAAATATGAAACTGAAATCAATGAAATAAAGTGTTTTTCTCACCTAATACAATAGCAGTATTACAGCATTTGAACCAAGGTTTAATTAGAAGCTTCCAGTTTCGTTACACAAGCTGTTTTTACAGTATGTTCTTTTTCAAGCTTCTTGTGAAAAACAGTGATCAGCTTTCAAAATGTATCAATATATTGAATGCCACACAGTGGATAACAATGTCTGTGAAATCCGTACCACAAAGTTGCGTTCAGAATTGTTTTAAGACATCAGGCTTTGAAATTCCAATTTTGAGTGCTCTCAAATACAGTCAAAAGTCGTTAATCCGGACTCGTCGGGACTTCGGCAATTCCGGATTATAGATCATCAGTTTAAATCTCGTAAGATGGCATGCAGAAATTACAAAATTAAAAATATGAAACCGTAATTTATGAAATAAAGAACAATTATGATCTAAAGGGTATCAAAATTTGCAAAAAGAAAAAGCTTAATATTTATTTGTTTACTTTATTAAACATTTCTTTCAATGTAAGTTGTTTAAGTTTTGCTTCGTTTCATAGCAAAACGTTTCATAGCGTGATAGTACTTTCTCTTTAATTCTATTAAACAGACATAATTTCTTGTTCAGTTACAAAGTTCCGCTGTTCAAGTCCTATAATTGCTGTGTCGAGAACACCGACTAATTTGTCAATCGAAATTTTTTCGTTTTCAATAACCTCTGTCACTTTCTTCGCTATCGGAAGCGAATTATAATGACGAGGAACTTGTTTTAAATCATATCAAAGACGGAGCATATCGAGATTAAATACTACATTTGGTAAGGAATTATAAGCCAAATAAAATAAAAAACATCTGCGCTGAAGATAAGGATAGTGCTGACAGATCAACTTCCAATTCATTACGCGCCCGCCGCGGCGTTCCCCCCGCCGAGCAGCGTGAAATTGATAAACAGATTTCGGATTTCAAAACATACTTTCGCTTTAGATCCTTTACATATTAACAAATATATATCGGAAATTGTATTTCATATAGTCGAAAGTTTAAGCTTACTTTTATAAAATTGCTCTTACAGTCTGCAAAAAATAATAAGCCAGATCCAATTCGAAAATTAAGGAACAACGCAATCATCAACATTAACTGAAATAGATAATTTTAGCTTATACGTCCATTATACATAAAACGTGCACGCGAAAACGTATTCTGCACTTGCGCACACTCATATGCGCAGTCGTAAAAGGTCTTACGCGCATGCATAAATGCCTATGCGCATGTGTCAACGCGGCACATGTGCAGAAAGTTTTTAGTTTTGAGGTCCGGATTATAGATCATTCCGAATTATGGGTGTCCGAATTAACGACTTTTGACTGTACAGTGTTTGAACTTATTAAAATCAATGGCAGTGCTGAAATGCAAAAATATTTAGAAATAAATGAAAACATGTGTACTGAAGATATAAAATCTTTCATTCTAGTTGATGCTGTAAAGTTTAATAGAAATAGCGTGGAAAGCAGTGAGGAAGAAAAAGTAGAGCCAGACAAAATGTGTGGCATAAAAAACTATATAGGTGCTTTAACATACACCTCCCAATTTAAAAAATAATAATATCTGTGACTGTAATATCCATGTGGGAAGAATGCTTGCAGTGCACAGGCTTTCAAACAAACCTATGTAATGAATTATTTCAAGTAAATAGCTGTTGTAATTACAAAACTCTTTTCTTCATTTCACATATTTTTGCAATAATTAATTAAACGTTTTTTAGTTAAGAATTTAAATTTTTCATTAATTGAAAATTCAAATGAATATCTGTAACTATGTTATTTATTTATGTATCATTTATTTAAAGCTTGATGTAACTGAAATTCCAATTAAATTACATTTTTTTAGTATGTACCCACTGAAGAAGGACACCTCTGTTTAAGAGGCAAAATGGGGTGTCTCTTACTTGGAGGCACTACAGTACATTTATTTAAATTTAGATTATTTTTAATGTGTTTTATAAATTAAACAAGAAAAAGTGTAGAAAACATTGACATGCACAAAAACTTGAATAAACTTTTATATTCATAAACTAAACCAGGTGTGGCCGAGGCAAATGACCTTGCAGGCCACTTCAGAAAAACATTATAATCCTGTGGACCATATATATCTTTATATTACAGTTGAACCCATTACAAACATTTATTGCAGGTTTTCGTCTGTTAAGTTTGAGCACAATTTATTTTTGATAAATTTCATTAAAAAAATTTTTAAAAAACGATTCACAGGTGTAAGTTTATCCAAAAGCTTTCACAACTTTTTGTGCCAGATCTCTCAAATAGGAAAATTTTTCTTTTGGGATGTAAGTGTTATAAAAATCTATTTTTGGTTCTGATGTTTCAAAAATGTGGTTTAATTCGTTATTGCATTGTAAGTCAATCAGTTCCATTTGGAGATATTCTGGGGCTGACTCAACATCGACATGAAAGGGAGATGAATGTATTTCAAATGATTTTTTGTATTTGTCTAAATTAGCGAAACGACTCTCAAAGTAGCTGCAAGTTTGCTTATTTCTTTAGTGCATTAAATGTAACTGATACATTTTGAATTTTTTAATTCTTTCATTATAGAAAGTGTTGAACATTATTATTTTTCAATTAAAACTCAAATAACAATAATTTCTTCTGAAATGCTTTGATGTGATTAAATGCATCGATTATTAAAATATCTTTTCCTTGTAATGATATATTTAATTGATTGTGTTTTTCGATGATATCTATTAAAAAGTTTAAATCCAATAACCATTCATAATTTCTTAATTCTGGTACTGGTCTTTGCTTGTCATTTATAAAATTCAATTTCTTGACGTAATTCATAAAATCTCTGTAAACAACTTCTTCTGCTTAACCATCTGACATGACTGAAGTATACAACATCACCATATTCACAATCTAATTTTTTTAGGAACTCCTTAAATTGTCAATGCGAAAGTGCATATGATCGAATGTAATTAACTGTTTTTGTGACATGCTATGCTTGCATAGCATGATTCATCAGTAATACTTGAGCACATAGATTTTGTTGATGAATTATAAATAAATCATCTCTTTTGCAGCATAATCTTTTGTTGTTTGATTCTATTTTATCAATCAGTAATTTTATAGCACTTTTTCTTTATCGATCATAGCAGATGCCCCATCAATTGATGTTCCAGAAAGAATTTCCAAACACAAGTTGTTTTCATATAAACAGTTTTCAACAGCATGGAAAAACCTGAAATGATTCATTTACTCCATGATTGAATACTATAAGTTGAGCTGTGTCTGAAATGCATGTACTTTTGTCAAATGCTAAGGAAAAATATTTGAAATCTCAAATTTGATCGTTCAGTTTTAGGATAATTTCATTTGAAATGTCATTAATTCGATGACACACTGTTTGCCAAGATAGACTTAAGTTTGAAAATAGTTTACTTTTATCAGCCAAATTATCTTTTACAACAACATTCAAACTTTCTTTCACAAATTCTCCATCTGAAAATGAGTTTTTTTAAATTCTCTCCACAATCAGAAAGGAAACGGAATAGCTTGACTTAATAATATTGGATGGCTGCTGTAATGCTAAACCAAACATTGTTTGTCAAGTCTTCAATTGTGATCTAAATTCTCTGAGCTTCAAGTGTTTCACTTCTTTATCAAGTTTCAAATAATTGTTATGTTTTGGTTTGTAATGCCTTTTAACTTTGTATTCCTTCAATATACAGATGGTCTTTCAGCAAATTAAACTCATTAATTTTGTGTTTAGAATGACAAAAAAGTAGTCTTTTTCTTCCCATTCCTCGCTATATCCTCTGTTTTCATCTACTATCCTTCTTTTCTTTGCACTCATACTAAAGATAATATTGAAATAAAAATGTTTAATAAATAAAATAAATTTAAAGTGAAAGAATGTTCATAAAAATTCATCCAGTAATTTTTTACAAAAATTCCGGCCATCGGAAAAATTTTTCCATTTTATTATACAAATGGGTTAGAACTAAAAGTTAGGAAGAAGTGAAAAATCTAAAGGACTACATGTTCCATTTCAAGCCTCTGATTTTATGCTTTTAAATAAAAGAATGTTTCACAAAAATTTGGCATATAATTTTTTACAAAAAATGCCGGCCATTGGAAAAATTTCACTGTTTTATAATACAAGTGGGTTAGGACTAAATGTGAGAAGGAAATACATATTTTTTTAATTTTTAAATGAGCTTCATTTTTACTTTAATGGAATTTATAATACCTGACTGTTTTTGTTGAAAATATATAAAAATTTTAGCTCTAGCAATAAGCAGTGTGATAAAGTTGCAAGAATCAAGCGTTATGCTGCGGAGGGTCGCTGCAATGCAATACTGCCCACTTCTAAACATGTATAAAAACAAAAGCAACATGATAAAATTAAAACTATTAAAACTGTTATGGGATTTATGTGATACAAAACACTACTTTAGAAACAAAAATATTGCACAAAATAATTGTATTTTGTAAAGTTTTAAAGAATCTTGCTAGCCGCAGGTTAACCACCTCTGAACTAAACACTTAATAGCTAAATATAAAGCTAAATACTTAATAATAGTTAAATAAAGAGCTGACTGTATTTCCCCCTGAAGCTATGAAATCGTTCCTAAAAATAAATCCCCTCCTCCAGGTTGAGAACCCCTGTGCTAGAATATTATCAGACATCTAAATTCATTCCAGCAGCTAATCATAGATTCCACACTTTTAAGAAGCTGTGAAAAATGCACAAACACAAGAGCTTTTCAAATTTTTTAGTTATATATCAATTTATCTTTCATAAAATAAGAAAATGTTTTATTTTAAAATTAAGGGAATGTATATTCTTGTATTTTTCTACATTATTATTTTCTTCTTCAAAAATGTACTCTAATATCTGTTTTACCTTCTAAATTTCTCTTATTTTTCATGTATAGGCTACTCATTCAACAAGTCTTCAGCTTTGTAAACTCTGCAAGAATTCATACAAAACTGTGAAATCCTTAATTGCACATATACGAAGGTATCATAATAATCCTGGTGGGAAAAGGTACATCAAATCACTTTCTTCCAAGCAAAGCAAAGAATCATTGATTAACTGTAATATTTGCCAAAAGAAATTTAAATCAACCTATACTTTTGAAAATCATAATATGAGTCATCATAATGTGTACTTGCCTTCTCCTCCACTAGCAAATATGCAGAATGATATTCTTAAAAATGTATCAGAAGGTGAAGTGAGTGAGTTGCATCTGGACAAGTTATGTTCTGCAGAAGCCAGTTCTGTATTGGAACAATCAGCTCAAGTATCAACAGTATCTGTGTTGGAACAATCATCTCAGATACCTGCAACTTCTGTATTAGAACAGCCAGCTCAGATATCAACAGAAACTTTGGCTGACATTGTGTTAGATAACTTTCTCAAAGAAGCGCAGTGTGAAACTGATGTGCTTTGTGAAAATGCATTTGAAACAGCAGAACAGTTAAGTGATGCTGCTACTCTACTAAATGGGTTTCAGAGAAAATCAATGGCTGAAAAGCTTCCTATTTCGGACGAGTCTTATGAATTTTGTTCTTCTGAAGCATCTATTTTGGCTGAATGTGAGAAAACGCTCAATTTAAACATTTTAAATGAATGTTTACGTAAATCTAACTTTTCTGGTGATTGCCTCACTGAAGTTTGTAGCCAGAAATCTAATTTAGTTAGTACCTCAGCATTGTCCATGAATTGCTCCGAGCAATATATTCTTTCTCCAGACTTTCCTGACTCGGTACTGCAAAGTGCTGAAGTTGAACAACTTCATGAAAGGGTTTCTGAAGATGTATCTGATAAAACTTGCACTACAGAATCGAAATCAGCTGAGATAAAACTGTTTGAAAAATGCCGCCGAGCACCAGCATATGTTTGCTGTGTTTGTTCTGCCATTTATATTTGCCCTGCCACTTTAAAAGTGCATCTGAAAGAACATGTTAACACTAACACACTCCTTGAACAACCAGAAGATTTTGAACCAGAGAAAATTGCTCAAAATGACTTTGATAATGTATGCAAGATCTTGCAAGGTAAGTAAGCATTGGAAAAAAAATTAGATAAATAATTTAGAAAAAATATAAAAATTAAAAATAAGGAAAGAAAATGATAACTTATATTTTATTATTTTGTGGTCTTATTTTTGCCTTAATTTAATTTACAAGTATATAATTTTTTATGCATACCAAAATCATTTCACAGATTGCACACTATATGTTGTTAAAAATTATATGTATTTATTGTTAGACAATTATTCAGTACTTTGTCTTTAACAGGGTGCCAGTCTTAAATTGTGACAAATGTGGTAACCTGTTTATTTCATGTCTAAAGTAGCTATATAATGATGTCACTATGAATAATTAGGAAGAGTGAACATCAATCCAACAGTTTTAATACTGATATTTGCCATTACTTTTATACTAGGCACTGATTTGAATTTCACTTTAAAGAAAGAATCAGTTTTACATGATTAGATATGCAAAACAGTGAAATAAACATCAGCATAACACACCGCACCATTATTTCAATCTCTAATTAATTGCATGCATATGGCAACAGTTGCATGAGAAAACACATATATTTTTGGCAGTGTTATAATAACCCTGTGTAATCTGTAATGCAGGTAAAATCCAATTTTTACTTTTTTATTTTCAGAATTAATTAAATAATCATTCTTTCTATGAAAATGTACATTTCATTAGCATTGTCATTTCTATCTCTGTTTAGACTTTGCACCAACATTTACTTCTGGTTCCAAATAGTGCCCAATTAACTGAAACATGCCAATTAGTCTAATGAATTTGTTGTTGTTGTTTTTAGTTTATAACTTTATTTTAAAGCATGTTATCATCTTTTTCATTTCTTAAAATTATTGTTGTGTAAATTCATTTTTAATATTATTTTGTTTAAATTTACCATTTAGCATATCTATGTTCTTTGTTCACACACACAAAAAAAAAACGTGCAGTGTTATTTAGAATAGTGTGGAAAACTGAAATTGATTTTACACTACTATAAATTTTTGTTTTTATTATATGGCTCTTATTGAGTACAGTTAACAGTAAAAAAAATAAGGTATTGAAAGTTTTAGAAATATAAGAATTATAAACCTTTAAAAAAAACTAAAACCATGCAGTTTTCAAGTTTTTTTTTTTTTTTTTTTTTTTTTTTTAAAAAAGCCCAAAATGGGCTATTTGTCTCAAAATGGGATTTTGCGTCAGTTCGCTATAAACAGTGAAACACTTTTCAAATTGTTGCCACCTGATGTTACTTTCCTGTATTATTAGTCCAAAGGGGCTTTGTCCCTGAGAGACTATTGTTTTCGTATTGCGTTGAAATACTATAAATGGCTGTATCACTTTTCAAAATGCTGCCACCAAATATTATCGCCTTGTATTATATTTGAAAAAATTAAATAATGAAGAATCTGCATAAATGTATATATGTTTCTCGCATTGTGATAAAACAATGATACCTAGAGCCATCCAATTTTAAATGACGTAATCCTACTGTGAATATGTGTATCTGAAAACCCAAATTTGGAATTTGTTTTATTACTGATTTCATATTTTGTAAAACTTTAACAAAATTTTGATTAACAAACTCAAAGATTTCAAAGCGAGAAATGGCAACAACAACATTTAAAAAAACACCCCTTTAGATGTAATTTAAAATCTGAAACCTTTCAGGTTTTTTTTTTTTTTTTTTTTTTTTTAATGAAATTAAAGAATGAAGAATCTGCATGTACGCATTTATGTTCCTTGTATGGGAAAAAATGACTCTACCTTAATTTTGTATAACATAAGTCTTACACCCGAGCATATGTACTTGGAAGCCTGAAAGTTGAATTTTGAAATTTATTTCATATTTTGTAAAACATTTATGAATTTCTCATTAACAAGCTTAACTATTAGTAAGTGAGCAGCAGCAACACTTCAAAATAAAATATTTTTATCTCTGCATAAGACTGTTGCCATTTGGAAAATGTGTAAAATATTTACCATTCAGTTTTAATTAACAAACTTGACTCTATGAAAGCAATGTGTGGCCAAAATAAAATACTTTTATCTTCACATGCAGCATGTTGCCATTCAGTAAAGCCCAAAGTACTTTCAGATTTAATATGGAAAGTTAGTGAGTAATTAACCTGGTAATTTAAAAGCTACAAACTGCTTGATATTTTTTCATTTTTCAATGTGATTGATTTAAATATATATGTATTAAAATCATGAGATTGTCTAATAAGAAATAATGCTAGTGGACTCATTAAAATCATTATATACTTTTTCTTTTTGTGATAGTTAATGTCAATGACTGGCCAAGTGAGAAAGAAATAATATAGCTAATATAAAAATATGTATGACAATCTCTAACACTCTTATTAGAAATTCTAAAGATATGCTGTTCTTAAATATTTGGTGATTTTGCTGTTAAGTTAAATTTTATATGGCATAAATGGCAAAGAACATGATACTTGATAACTAAAATTAACATGTAAAAAGTTAATAATAAAAAGACAAAAAAAAAATTGTTTGTTAACCATCTTACTAAGAAAACATTATTGCTATGGTAAACTGCAAAAAGACTGAAAAAGATACAAAAATGTGTGCCAATGCTAACATGCATCGGAAATTCTAAACATTTGCTGCTATGCAGCTTTTTAAATTTTGTTGTTGAAGTGTATGTGGCTTTAGTACAAAGAAAATGGTGCTTTAAAGCACATTGATCAGCCCAAAAGCATCACTTTAGCAACCATTCCCTTCTTTCATATTATGACTCTTAGTACTTCATGACTTCCATGTTGCTCATTTTGTATACTGTCATTTTGCCATTTATATGTGCTTTCACCTAGAGCTGCTCCTAGATTATTGGCTGCCCATGTACTTTCCTAAGATTGCCGCCCCCAAATTTTAAAAAAATGCTCAATGCTTAACAAAATTTTTATTTTATGCTCACTAAGTACTTACGTTTGACAAATTTTATAAAAAGTACTTACAATGAAGTTAATGAATTTAAAATATTTAGGCATGGTATCACAATATTTCAGCCGCTTCTGATTTTGGTCGCCCACGTACTTTTATGTGCTGCACACCCTCTAGGAACGGCCCTGCTTTCACCAGAGGTGCACAAAAACAGTTCAAACACCAAGCAGTTCTGAAATGCTGCCATCCTTGGTCCAATAGCCAATATTCAGTCTTTTTTGCAAGCCTGAGAAGTTACACTGTTTATTCATATGACTCAAAAAGGGTATCACCCCTTTGTTTGACTGTTTACTGTGAAATGTGCCAACAACAGTAGATATGGTGGGGATCAAATTATAAAGTGGTGCAAGGTATTTTTTGCAGTAGAGCCATTTACTGCAGAGCAGTGTGCTTTTTGCATAGGAACATTTTACCAAAATAATAATTCTGCATTTAAAGCATGATGTCTGTATCTAGAGCATTACCAGTTGCAAGAAATTAGCTTATCACCTGGCCCTAATGTTATTAGAAAATGGTTCAGAATGTTTGAAGCTACTGGTTCGATAGTGAAAATACACTGATCTGTAGGATCACGATCCGTAAGAAATATTGCAAACATCGAAAGTGTATGACATTCAGAAATAATTTGTATTATCTCTATACAACGAAGTCAGACAACCAATGTTAAAAGATCATTTTAAATAACATTTTGACCAAAGACTTGTGCCCACCAGTAGCTAAGTAGTAAAGTTGCTGAACAGTGGTAGTTTGGTTAGGGTTAATATCCCTGTGATGAATGGGCTGGCAGCATAGCCATTTTCACAATGTGTATATAAGCCAGTTTCTTCCAGAAAGCCCTCCATAAAGGCATCCCTCCCCTTAGGCAGATAGCCCTCATGTGCTTTGTGGTAACTGACTAAAACCAAAGTAAACCAAAAGTTTACATCTCCATACCTATAAAATACAGGTGGTGCAAGAATTAAAAGCAACAGATTACATTGCATGGCTTGGTTTTGGCAAATGAGATCATGAATGGCTTAACGATTTAGATAACATTTTATTTAGTAATAGCCCCAAGGTAATTGTATGGACTGCTATGTCTTGTAATGGCATCATCAGATCATTTTTTTATTATTAAATTGAAAGAACACTTGCCCAGCAATATTGTGCAATGTTGCAAGATTTTCTTGCACCATCTCAAGGCTTTAATTTGGAAATTTGGTTTCAACAAGATGATGCCATGTGCTACACATCAAATCAGGTTGTCAAAGCTGTCCAATTATTTCCCAAGTGATTTTAAGAAGAGGAAATATTAGCTGTCCTTCTAGGAGCCCCAGTTTATTGCTTCTTGATTATTTCTTGTGGAATTAACTTAAAAGTAAGATCTACAAGAATAATCCAGCTGATACAAATCAATTAAAGGCAAATATCAAGGCACAAATAAAATTGATCTTGAGGAAAATGTGTGGACATGTTATCAATAATCTTCATTCTTGATATAAAGAGTGCATACAATGCAGTGAACATGAATCGCAGAAATTTTAAGTTTTTTATGATATGATTAAGTTTTTTATGAAGTTTATAATACATTTATCAAATATGCTTCTGGCACATGCACTATGCCATTGGTTACTGACTGCTGTTGTTAGTCATAGGAATTTGTCACATTGACTTGAAAATGTATATAAGAGTAAAGTAATTTAATTTTTATTTTGGAAATTTATCCAATGCAAAAACTTTCTGCTTGATTTTATTTACTGAAATGGATGAAGAAGGTACAAACAGTAGTGTTAACAGTGTGCAATAATAAAGTGATCTAGTGAGCATTTGACCCCAAAAAGGACTATTTATCCTGAAACATAATTTTGCATTATTTCACCATTTATTCTAGTCCATTGCCATTCGGCGAAATGTAAGATATTTATCAAATTTAACATATCTGTTGTTAATTAACAAACTGAGCTATTTAAAAGCAATAGATGCAGTTATTAAGAATATTTTTTTTATTTTTAATCTGATTGATTTGAATAAAAATGCATTTAATTCATGATATATCTAATCTGAAACATTAAATATTCATATAGCATTATACATTTTAGGCACCCACTAAAACCTGAAAAATAAATCAAACTAAGAAATATTTGAATTAAAAGTAAAAATTAGTATTAAATCTAAAATAGTATTTTAAGGCATTAACTAACTTTTAAGAAACTATGCTGAGAAAAAGATCTGTTTTTAATCAGATAGTGAGTTATGTCAGTTTATCAGTAAGTATCAGTTTCAAATTCATTTTTTGCAAATGAAAAGAATAGTAATATGTAAGGAAGTTTTAAATATTTTTATTATATGTCTTGTACTAAGTTCAAATAAAAATTTGTAATTAATTTAAAATGTGCATAAAATAATTCAATGCCTACTCGCTTTAATATTCACATAGTTGAAATATATATTAATTACTTGCATTGGTTTGATGATTTTTCTTTCAGTTTTATTTTCAATGATTATTGATAGATTTCCTTCCAGTTATTTAAATATCTTTAATTTATTATTATTAATTTTCTGTATTGAACCAAAAAGAAATTTATAAATTAAATGCTACAGAATATAAACATCAGTATTTTTTTTTCAAACATTTAAAAGTAATAGATTTGTATACAGTATTTAGATGGTAGTATGTAACTGTTTTAGACAGGTTCATAATCAAAAGACTGAGTGTATAATATGAAAGATTGAAGAATTTTACACTATTATGTATTAAATAATTTAATGATGTGAAAATATTTGTCATTTGAATTATACAAAAATAGTATTCATAAAATTGGAAAATGATATGTATGTATAATGTTGGCATATTTTATAGAAGTATCTTTTCTTTTTTTTTTCTTTCTTTCTTTTTTTTTTTTTTTTTTTTTTTTTTTTTTTTTTTTTTTTCCCCTTTATAGATCCCATAGACTCATGTTCTTCTGATGAAAAAGAACTTGAAAAACTTTACACTTCCTCTTTGGACATGATGTGGTACTTGCCAGCAGTTAGTGTTGTTCTTGAAAGTGATCCAGCTTTATTGGATTGCAATCTAGATGATATATTTTGCTTAAATGATAGATCTGATGAAACTATGTAATAAAATATATTTTTTCAAAAATAATTTAATATTTTACTGTTATTTTTAGAACAAATTTTTCATAATTGAAAAATCATAATGCACTGCATTATAGAATTTCAAGTGCTAAGTTCTAATATGATAATGTGAAAATAAAAAATTTCATAAAGAAATTCTGATATGAAAAATTTGGTACTTTGCACTCACCTCTGAAAAGTTGGCCCACTAAGAATTGCATAGAACAACAACCAATAGCAAAATTAAAAACAGAAGAAACATCCATAATAAAACTTTTTTCCTCTCTCTGTTCTCCATATGTACGCAACGATCTGTTTTAGCTGGAAAAAACATCAGTTGATATTTCATATGCTGTTTTTTTCTCCGTGTAATCTATTTTTCACTTTAAAAAAAATCTGCCACCAGCACACTAATTTTGACATATAAAGTTTGATTTTTTATGACGTACAACTTCATGGAATGCAAATTTTTGCATTCTCTACTGTTGAGCAGAATCAGGGCCGGATTTACGTAAAAGCTACACAAGCTATAGCTTAGGCCCTCACTTTCTTGGGGGGAAGATGGCCAAAAAATTAAAATATAGTATAAATAGTATTAAAATATATTATAACAGTTTAATAAAGGGCCCCATACCTCAAATACTCGTAGCTTAGAGCCTTATCAAGTCTAAATATGACACAGTAGCAAAATAAATATTTCTGGGAAGAAATGCAATGCTTTCTTTTTCATGGCTAAATCCACAGCCCCACTATGATTCTTTCCAAGGAAAAAAAGTGCATAAAAAATAAACAGTAATGACCGGCGCTCGTCTGCTGTGCGTGCGCAGACGTGGATTGAAACATAACTACATTTGGGTTGCTTATTTTGACAACAGCGCGTGTACTCATGAATATTTTTCAGAGAGTGCTGATAAGAGATAACAAGAGATAATATATCTATATTTACCAATTTAAATTTTTCTTAATTTAAAAATTCAGTAAGGAATGTCAGCCAGATGTAGTGGTGATGATTCATTAAGATATACACTGAAGAAACATTACATTATGACCATCTGTTCAATGTGAAGTAAAACCATCTATCGCCATCAAAACCTCCTGCACCAAACGAGACACGAAGTCGACAAAGTGCTGATAGATAGTCAGGTATCTAGTACCAGGTAGTCATCAACTGGTTCTGCAATGCCCGCACATTGAGAGGTGGTAGCGTGGCAGCAAGAATTCGTTTTTCCAGGTTGAACTACAATTGTTCAATTAGATTTATTTCAGGTGAATTCGGAGGATTCATCACTTCAATGTTCTTCATTTGTTCCTCGAACCACTTCCGCATGCATAATTCACAAGTGCACATCAGTATCGCCATTGAGTGAGGGGTTTCAAAAATGGACCAATGAGCTTCTATTGCTCTTGTGACACTGAATATTTGAAACTGTTCATATGAGCACATGTTCTTGTTTACGCTTTATTTTGCATTTGTTTCGCAGTTATAAATTATGGTGTATAAATGCTGATATTATTTTAGTTGAAAATCTAGTAATGCTTTCATTTAAGTTTATTTACTCGTCAACATTTCACTTTCGCCGAATGTATCACACACTGATATTCGGATTAATGTTCGTGGCATGTTAGCGATCTTTATGTCGAGAAAATGACTCAAGCTATAATTAGCCTCGAATATTATGCATTAACGACTGTAGATTAACAGAATTCAAGTGCATAATTTTTTAAATGAGCTGAGAATAACGAAGTGTTACAATGAATCTAGTATTATCTTGTTGCTTGCATTCCTTTAATTTTGAAAGTGTAAGATTCAAAATATATATTGTAAATGATCTGACTATTGTTAGCATTAAAAGTTACATATGGATAAATTAAATACATTCGTTGTGAATAATATAAATTCATTGTTTTAAGAATTTCTTATGCAGGCAATAGTTAAAGTGAACAGTTATTAATGTGAAATTTAACACACTAAATGTGTAGAAATACAAATTAGGAAAGTTTTATTTGAATAAAATTGTGCATTGTCTATTACTATAGAACATCTTTTTCATAAAGACTGCAATAAAAAATACTAAGACTTCTACTATTTGCATATATAAAATTACGCTTATATTTGATCTAAATTCATATTGAAAATTTTCACAAGAAATCCACGATGTTTTATATAAATTCATATTGAAAATTTTCACAAGAAATATACAATGCTTTAATTATTTTGTACAGGAAATTGCGTAACAAAACATTTTAACCACCTTGCTTAAAGCACAACAAAATTCATATGAAATGACAGAAATATTACTGGAGGCCTATTGGTGCATTCTAGGAGCCGCTCCATCGATGGCGATACAGATATACACTTATGAAATATGCCTCCCGGCCTATTCAGCCCTAATGTGCCCCACGAACCCCAGGGGGGTATGCGAATATTTGTAGTTTAATCTCTGTGCTTTGGAAATACTATACTTTGATATCCAGACCGTGTTGCTGTATATCCCTTCGAGTCTGTACTGCCATGTGAGGCGGGGGGACTGAATCGGCCTCAGTTGGACTATTTGAAAAGTTGCATCCCTGCTGAAGTTTTACATAGTCGTGGTCTGGGGGCTTCCTCGAAAGAGGGCCTGCACAGTTACTCCACAGTCTAGTACGAGTGATCGGCAAGAACTCCAGGTACCGGTCATCGCAAAAAGCAACCAACACATATATTGCTTCCTTAACGAAGCCAGTCTTCATCCCTGCGGTAGTGTTTTTTTTTTTTTTTTGTGTGTGTGTGTGTGTGTAAGCGCGCGCGTGGGCGTGCGTGTTATGCTTATTACGCTGAGCGATGGCAGATCAGCGAAATATGAAACTAAATAGACCGAAGTGTTCTGAGAGTGAAACACTAATAGTTAAAGTTCCAAATACAGATGATGTATGCAAGCAGATAGGTTCACCTGAATAAGATTTGCCATTTTCAGCGGAAGCTGCGTTAGAAGTGCAGGAGGCACACAACTGCCTAATCAACTTAAAAAGCCTTTCAACCAAAGAAGGTATAGGCAAGAAGCTAGGTAAAAAAAAATTGCGATCAATTCTTAGGGCATCTTAATATTGTTACTCAGAAAAATTCTAAGATAGGACACTTAGCAGAACATGTCAAACAGACCCAACATTTAGAGGTTTATGTAGAGGCTTGTGGTCAAAGAACGTAGGACTTATGCAGACGTAGCGAGAGCAAGATCCGGTAGCAGAGGTCCAGCTCGAGACAACCACAGTCAAGAGGAAAGAAAGTGGCTCAAGAACACGTCCTATTGGTTTATCCTAAGAAGGAGCATATCTCGGAGATGCTCAAGGAGAAGTTGGTCAAATATATTCAGCTTTCCAAATTAAAGATACGGGTCGAAAATGTTAAAAAATCAGCAGCTGATTGAGGTCACGAAGAAAGATGAATTAGCGATCAAAGAGAGCAAAAAACTAAAAGAGACAATAGACACCAAATATCACCAAAAGCGCAATTCGAGAGTGATAGTGTTCAACGTCAACAAAGCATAGACCTGAATAGTCTGATACATCTGCTAAAGACTCAACACGAAGGGACAGAAGATGCAAAAATAGAGGTGCAATTTGTCATCAACGCACGCTATAGCCAGTACTGGGTCATGTCAGTGGATCCAGCTACCTTTAAGTACTTAATGAAATCTAAGAAAGTCAACATCGAATGGACGAGGAATAACTTCAAGGAATTCCTAAAAATAATGCAATGTGTGAAGGTATGGGATTCAACCACAGCGCCAAAAATTGCACGAAGAAAGATTTGCGGAGACAAAGGTCACGAGGCAAAAGACTGTCAGGAGCAAAACTAAAAGTGAGCCAATGGATAAGAAAAAATTCAATACAGGACATAATGTTAACCAAGATTCTCACAGTAAAAACTACCCATGCTACAAAAGAGAACTCACAAAACTAAGAAATGGAACTAACTATGATAACTAGGATTATTATGCAAATTAATGTTCAGCACTCAAGGAGTGCAGCAGATTATCTGAAAACGACGTTAGAGCAGAATAATAGCATGTATTGGAGAACCCTTCGTGGTAAAAAATAAGACGTCTGGTTTTCACTTAAATATAGAAAAATTCTACCACGAAGCAGAAGCAAAATCAGTAATCACAGTCACGGACAACCCGTTGCTTGTTATACACGTCTTCAGCTCCCCTTGCATAATGGCATAAGAGTAAAACAAGAAAACTCTTTCCAAATTATCTCGGCCTACTGCCCATCCACAGAAAAACTGGAGCCAGTCCTCACAATAATAGAGAAATCGCCAAAGACAGGGAGGATATTCCTACCGTAGTTTGCGGGACCTTTAATACTAAAAATCCGATCTGGATTCTAACTCCAGCCAGACCCAAGAAACAATAAAGTGTGTGAACTACCGGGTTCAACTTCCACAGGATTCACAGCAGCTAACAACGATAAGTCAATCCCTACCTTTGCCGGAGCCAGAGGTAACTCTTGAGTGGATTTATCACTCCTTCGCAAAATAGGAGAACTACACATTCTAACCTGGCCAGTCGTGGATGATTTTAACTCAAGTAACCACAACTACATCTACTTTGAAATAAGCCCTGACAAACACAGCACTTTCAGAGAAAAAAGAATGAATATAAGCGCAACAGATTGGCTCAATTTTAAACAAAAAGTGTCGTGTGGGCTAGAATTAGCAAAATGAGAAACAAAGAAGATATAGATAATCACATTGAGCAAACCACAACACTCCTGCCGAACGCATATGACAATACGAGAAGAGGAGAAGAGACAGAAGGCAAAAAATCCTCCATGGTGGAACTTAAAAGTCCAGACCCTAAGTAAAAGGATACGCGCCTTACGAAAAAGATTCCAGAAAACAGCAGGAGCAGCAAGAATAAGAAATAGACTTATGTACAAAACAGAATCAGCAAAATCCAAAAGAACAATTTAAAAGCGAAAAGGAAGTCCTAGGACAATTTCGAGAAGAAAATTACAGTCAGTTATCCCTTCGGAACATATTTCCAT